GATAAAAGTAAACCATCTAATCTAATGTTTAGTCACAATAATCATTTTTTACTTTTATAATTCTAATGTTTATTTAAATTTATCTTTTTATTTTAATCTAATGTCTAGATGTAGAAAAACCGTAAATATATTATGTTAAACTTATCTCCTTCAATTCTAATTTATTTCTAAAGACCTCACCCCCCCTTCGTTTCCCCTTTGAGAGTGCACAAGGTCCGTCCCAGGGTAATAGGGATTAATTTCCTTGACCCGAAATAGGACCTGCGATCGCACCGCTCTTGGAAATAGTCATAGTGTCCTCGCGGACATTGACCTTTTCAGAGCCCTAGAAAAGTGCGTTCGGCTCGCTTCCACGCGCCTCCGAGCGTGTTAGCGAGATATCAAATTGCTAGTTACGTCATTCCATACCTCCTCGTCAGGAAGCCCTATCCTTCGGCTCCCGTTAATCTCTATTTCCCATATCTCCATTTTCCAAGAGGTTTTGACGTAACAATACGCTGAAAATTTTTTAAAACTCTTGACCGAAGACTATACGTCAAGCGTTGCTCGGACAGCTTTAGAAACTCAAGCCCGTAAAAAAAGACAATCAACTGTAGTTCTTCCATCGAAAAATGATATTCAGAAACTTCAAGTGTAGGTATCTCCGTGACAAATTGAGGAAAAATTATAAAGCTTTGAATGAACAATTTTCGAAGAAAGCTTGGCATGATTTAGCTGCAAGTGCTCTTATTTCTATTCAGTTGTTCAACCGACGTCGGGCAGGCGAAATTGAAAGAATCTTAATTAAAGATTTTAAAAATCACCAAAAAATTGATGAAAACACGGTTGGCGAGGCTTATTTAAAATTTTCAATCGAAGAAAAACGGGCTGCTCAAAAATATGTACGATTCACAATTCGAGGAAAATTAAACCGTACAATACCGGTATTATTGCACAGGGAACTTTTAGTGTGCTTAGAACTTCTTTTAAAGAACAGGCATTTGGTAAACATAAATAAAAACAACCCGTATTTGTTCGGTATCCCGGGTTCGTTCAAGGGAGACTATAGGTACCTCAGAGCCTGTGAACTAATGCGCAAATTTTCAGAGGAATGCGGTGCTGAAAAACCGGGTACTCTAAGAGGAACTATATTGCGAAAACACATAGCTACGATGTGTGTAAACTTTAATCTTTCCGAGAATGAAGTGTCTGATCTCGCTAGCTTTTTAGGCCATGCCGACCGTATACATAAAGAGCATTATAGGCAGCCTATAATAACGAGAGAAATATTGCAAATATCGAAATTGTTAGAAGCTGTACAAGGAAAGCAGAACGATTCTGAAGATGACTCGGACGATGGTAGTGAGATAATGCCTAATATGAACAAACCTGATAGTACTACCTCAGATGTACCCAATGAAAGCGTTTTTATTGATAATCATGAGGGAAATTCTGCAACATCACCTGCTTCCCAGCATTCGAATTATAGTAACTCATCTGAATCCGAAGAGGATTTTTCTGAGATTCTTACAGAACCCACAAAGAAAAAACAACAAAAAAAACGATCAAGTAAGTATAAATAAAATATTCATATATGTTCGTATATAATATATACATATATATCAATAATCATGTATTCCTTCTTTCAGCTTCACCGTTTGGAAAATGTAGCCGCGTTCGGTAGACGGAAAAAGAAAAAGAAGTTACATTCCGAGCTTTTCAAACGTATATTATTTCGAAAACTTTACCCTCTTTTCAACAAATTCAGGACGTAATCGATGATAATCCAAAAGTGTTTAATCGGAATATTGCAACCATTAAAACATGGGTCAGTAATCAAATAAAAAAAAAACGCGAAGTAGAAAGAGACAACTGCGTAGTGACTGCGTATTGCTAAATAAACGTTCGGAAATAACAGCATTACATTATGCGTAGATGTTCAGCAGATATAGCAGTTTTGTCATTATAGCAGCATTGTCATAGTAAGTGACAAAAATTGAAGACTTCTTCAGTGTACGTACCAATTAAAAAACAATTGTTCCTTTTGTAGAGAGAGATATATATGTATAATATGTATACAGGGTGAGTAATTTTAATTTATCACCCCTAATTTGTCCGAAACATTTTGTTCTCAAATTAAAACCAAATAAGTTATTAGGGGTGATAAATTAAAATTACTCACCCTGTATAATATATACGACCGGTTACGGAGGACTAAAGGTATTTTCTGCAACCCTTCCGTAAAAGGATTCTTTTGTGTTTAAAGCTGTTTAAACTGTTACAACAAAGTCCAAACATGTAAATAGTGATTACGCTTACTACGTGATCTATCTTACTATTCTTCGATATTTAACGTTAAATTGAAAATCTGTATTAATAAAGAAAAAGAAAATAAGACAGGCGTTGAAAGTCAACGTACCTGTCCCTCGCAGATCACATATTGTCACGTCTGTATGTGGTTCCATGTAATTATAA